GCTCATAAGTCTTCAAGGGTTTCCCCTGACTCATGTGTGACGTATGCGACTGATCCAGAATACACGAAATCTTCTGAAAAGCCACGAAGGGAAGTGTGTGGTTAAAAAATGAATGAGTCCTCTCATTCCAGGTCATGTGTTCATCTCAGAAATCGACTCACTATCGGTGTTTGTGGCATTCTGTAGCCATCAACAAATGGCACTGGACGCACTGAATAAGCTGTTATCTCATCCAGACGCACAGAAGCTCTACACGAAGTGCACGTCGAGCGTTGCGGCTCGTGGCATGAGCCTGAGCACGTTTCTTTTGCTGCCGCTTGGACGAATTACGAGGTTTGTTTCAGAGGCAAGGCTGGCAAGGCCTACATAGGAGGACATGCGATTGCCCGACTAATAGGCTGGTATCGCGCCAAAACATTTGTACGCGGGCAAGCCTCCAACCGACGCTACGATAAGCACTTTATGCTTCACGTGGAGTTACATGACATCTTGAACTTTTTGTCTACGGACAACTTGAATTTAATCCCCTTGAATGCGTCGAACATCTCTTTTTCTCTGCACCCTCTCGTCCTTGTTGCATTCTGTGCTCATTGTGACCTCACATATTCCAGTTTTGGCTCATGGTAAGTGGCTCACACCCTGGAGTCCCCTCCCCTTGAAAAATCCCGCTTCCTGGCTCGCCATACGTTTTTTGGCACGTTTCGATGCTTTGGCAGCCGCTGCCCTCTATCCGTCTGCGTCACAGGGTTTCGTAACAGGACCGCCACCGGAAGTTCAAGATGTCACGTAACCTGAACTTTTGTGCATGGTCCTGTTGCGAAACCCTGTGAGCAGGCAGTTAGGGATAGCGCTGCAAAACATCGAAATGAGCAAGAAACATTCGGCAAGCCAGGTTATGGGCTTTTTCGAAGGGAGGGGGCTCCGGGGTGGGTGAGCCACTTATCATGTGCGAAAAACTAGATTGTCTGAGGTCACAATGACCGTTTGATGCCATACAAACGAATGCAGAGAAGAACGGAAGATCGACGCGCTCAAAAAGATTAAGTTAAAGATATCCGTAGACCTGACCTGGTCTGCTGGCCGCGTGCCCCCCCCCCCCCTTCAACCACTTTTCTCCCCGTTTCTGTGTTACAAATTGATAGCAAATGCTAATATGTGGAAGCTCTGCACTCCAAATGGATCACAAGTTGTAGATTCCCTGTGTTTCTCACAGTAAAGTAGAAAGCAGCAATAAGCATTACAGGTGGAACAGCTTAGTGAGCAACAAATACTGCAGGTGGAACAGCCTACTGAGACTGCAGCGAAATGAGACTGCCCCGACAACATTTTTCAGCCGTGTCCTTTCCCCTGAAATGAGCAGTCAGCTAGCGTTTCAGCAAGGAAATGGGAAGATTCTGCTCATACTGTGCTTATGAAGGCGTAGGTGATCTGTGCAGCTTGAGCGAGAAAATGGTTAAACAGGTTGTTAGGATGGTCGGCTTTCAGGCAGTACTTCTCAAAAGAGTAGAGACTTTTCAAAAGCTCAGTTCTTAAAGCAAAGGCGTCGGTAATGAGGTTGAAAATTGGACTTTCAGGGGCTAAATGACTTGGAAATGTGGGGAAAAGCAGAAGGAACCGGCGGTAACGCCTCAAGTAGGAACTCGTTCCATTTGGTGGGAGTGCGCTGTTGATGGCTACCCTAGCTTGCTATTTAGGGGGTTTCCTTGATTATGTTAATTTTAAGCGTTCGGTGACGTCTCCTGAGGGAACGAACGGGCGGAGCCTCAGGCACATCACGACCCTTGGAATCCTTAACATACGAATTCGCACTATACACGCAAACCATATATTATTTGTGGACCTACGCCTCTCTGCAGACACACGGGAACACTGAAGTGATCATGTATTTTTCTCAGATATCCTCTGCTGATCGAGAAAATCCTCAAGGAGAGCAATCCGAAAGGCGAATTGCATCAGGTATGTGACCTCGCTATGAAGTGACTTTCAACATCGACCTTGTAATTTGTTCCAGGAGCTGGATACTGCTCTACAACTACTTCGTGCTCTTGTTTCTGAAGTGAATCATGCTGTGACTGAAGAGGAGAATGTGTTCCTCTTACGTTGGGCCCAGTTACATGTAAAATGTCATCC